TTCAGAACTTCGTGGCCCAAGCGTTGATCGCCCGCTGCCGAGAAAATGAACAGACAGCCAAGCTGCCGCAATGGCTCAGAAATGGTTATCCTTGGCAGCATCCTCAGCCTCCAACACGTACATCTTTTGTTCTTGAAATGTGCCGCCCAGACATTAATTACAATTCAACGCTGCTGAATGAATGAACTATATACATTGGAAGACATACACATTTCACTAATATACCAAAAGAACCAGACCGCAGTAACAGCTCAGGTTCTGGGTAGTTCTCACATCGTAAGCACATATCAAGTCAGCCACTCAGTACAAGCTGTATATATCCCTCCATGCATCTTTATAGCTAAAACTGCCGCAATTTGATTTGCGCATGCGGCATCAGCATAATTGGCGCATGATAGGGACAACAACAGTCTTTGCAAGTTGCCACTCTTGCCTCTACAGAATCAGCTCTTGCCTCTGCCGTCTACAGGAATATCGAGACCGGTTTTTTATCAGCCGCGCCGGAGACAACAAGGGCTCCCCATCCCTTTAAGGATTTAAAAATACCTCACCGCCGTGTATATCATCTCTTTTTCATACATCTGTTTACTGCTTTGCCGTTTCGCTAGAATCGTGCCCATGTTATACAGCATGTACCACCCATCTCCACGAAAACTCCAACATCCCGTAATTTCCCCCCCCCCCCTCCCAACCCCCCAGAGCCTCGTCCATGCCTCACTCACGCGTGACCCAACACTATGAGCGGTGCCTGGCCTTGCGAAGTGCCAATACGTCATGGCATCGGCTGACAAGCTCGCAAGTCGCAGTAACAATGCCAGTTGAACGAGTTCCTCGAGCAATTAGATTATAGGGAAAGAGGGCAGACTGTTGGGCTCTGGAAAAGCGTGTTGGGTGCAGTGTAACAAGCAGTGATTATGGCTCGGTAGTTCTACTGAGAACACTGAATCGTACATGTTTGTATACTGTATAGAGATGAAATCACAGTTCAAGACTTCAAACACAATTTAAATGCTGAAATTCCAACACACATACACCTCTCCAAGAGGAAATAGTACATCGCTTCAACGCCTCCTAACCGCAAACTACAACGCCACACGACACAAACGCCCATTCTGAGTCTGTACGCCCTGCTCCCCATCCCGTACCTGCCATCTCTCGCTCCCAACAGCCGTAGTCGCATAAAACACATCACTAGGATCCCACTTGCGCTTGAGCGCCAAAAGCCGGGGATACTGCGCAGCGCCGTAGAATTCGGTTTGCCAGTTGGGTTCCTGGATATCGGCTTCGTTGAGGTAGACGCCGCCGCCGGCGGAGCTGGGTGCGATTTGGCGCCAGGGTTCCATGATGGTGTGGGTTAGCGTGTCCGAAGCATTCTTTAGTTGGGCTGGGGTGGCGTTGTCGGGTACGGTGTTGGCGGTGATGAGGAAGGATTGGGTGGTGCGCCATGCGGGGTTGACGGCGTTGTCGACGTTGAAAGGATTGCCAGGAGCCATGTGGTATCCAATGACGGTTTGGCCGCTCATCACCGTGTTTTTGACGGTATTGTAGAAGCCTTTGAGCTTGTCTTCGGTTTCCCAAAGGCTCTTGGGAAAGAGCCGGGTTGCTTGGCGAATGGACAACACGCCGACCGTGGAGTCGCCCCAGGCGCCCTTGTTTGCAGAGTAAAAGTCTTCGTAAAATGTGGTATTTGGGGAGATGGAGATGTTGAGGGTTCTGAACTCGTCGAATAAGGGCTTGGTCAGTTCGTTGAACGATTCGACTGTGTGGTTGGGCGCAAAGAACGGCAGCATTTGGAAGTCGAGCGAGGTTCCGTAATTCCAAATCCAGAAATACGCATACGTTCCTGCATTGGTGAAGGCAGGGAATTTTTTGAAGTAGGCATGAATTGCTTTCCAGAAGTTTGCCGAATTGTCAGGAGCGGCCTGAAAAGAGAATATCGACTTGGTGACTTTGATTCTGGGATGCGCTTTGACAATTGCAGAGGTAACGACACCAAAGGCCGATCCTCCTCCTCCACGAAGCGCCCAGAAGAGATCCTGATTGACAGTATTCGAGGCTGTCACGAAGCGACCATCGGCTGTGACCACCTCAAACGCAAGGACTTGGTCGGCAGCCATTCCGTAAATCGAAGCAAGTGGTGAATGGCCACCTCCAGCAATATAGCCACCTGTCCATCCGACCGTCTACAACTACGGTCAGCAACGAACTTGTAATAGAGAAGAATGGAAAGTGGCCATACTTCACAGATACCGGCTAAAACGGTAACATCATTGTCACGAGCAGCCTCGAGAATCTCAAAACCCTGGACGCCAGCACCAGCCTTGAAAGCAGGACCACTGTACCCTGCATTCTGATAACTCTCTATAAACCGAATCTCTTTGAGATTGTGGGTCCACAAGTTGAGAGCGCCCGCACCACTGGATTTACCAAGGAAGTCGTGACCAGTGTTTTTGATGACCAGACGTAGATTGAGATTGCGAGCAAAGTTGATGCCCAATTGGATTTGAGCCACATTCTCGACGTTGATGGAGTAAGATGGATATCCACCCAGTGTGCAAGTGCCGTTCGGGTCATTGGTTGGTAGACAGGTACGTCCCTGGTACAACGGCCACATGATCGAAGTGGGATCATTTGTGCTAGGCGGAGTCAACGTGTTTCTCTCCGCAACATACTTCCCACTTACTGGATATCAGTGGTCGTAAACTTTGCAGAGATATCTGCGCACTTGGCCGGATCGTACACGCCGGTACTCTTGTAGCAAGGGGCAGCCACAGGCGTTGTTTTGATCAGCGCTCCCCCGAGGAGAGAATCTAATAGAGACCACACAGTCGGAAGCGGGTAATCCCGATCACCTGGGAATGTTTTACAGGTGCCATTGTGTCGAGCCCGCCTCGGTCCAGCTGGTTTGGAACTGTCGTCGAAGCCGACGAGAGCAAGAACATCGGTATCATTGATTTGAGCATCAGCATTCATCAATACTCCATCTGTCAGCTGGATTGCTTCAGACTTGAAGAGCTCGACTCCAGCAGGTGAGTTTGTGGAGACTGTGGTTGCAGCTGGGACAATTGACACATCGGAAGCAGTTGTGTCGCGAACAACTACCGGACTTGCAACGACACCAACCGTGGCAGCCAGCAAAACTAACAAACAACAGCGCAGAGACATTACGAGAAGTTGGCGAAGAAAAAACTGCTGTCAAACTAAACGTCCATGCTGGGGATTCCTCTTTATAGAATATGTGAAATCCTTGTGCCCATCCAGTTGGGGCTGTTCGTCCACTTACCATCCCTCTCATAGACGAGGTGTTGTGGTGCTGGGTCTTTTTTGCTGGGGCTCTCGTACATTATTCGTGGTGGTAGGATGTGAGTGCCCCACTATATGTAGGTAAGCAATATCTTCATCTACGTCTTTCAGCTCCCAGCGGTGGGCAGACCTTGATTGGACCATTCCGGTGCTGGCATGGCACGCCACTGGGGGGAAAGTAAGCGCCATCAAAGGGTGATGAGTAACAAGAAGACTGCAAAAGTATAGAGGTAGCCAGGGAGTTGGATACTCTAGGAGGGAGCAAGGACTTCAGAACACCTTGCAATGGCGCAAACACATGGTGTCCCTATGCGGGTAAAAGCAAAATTCTAACCAATTCTGGTTCAAATGTATTTGGGCCATGACGTCGTCCAGTCACCAATTGACAAACTTCTCCGGTACAGACATTGATACTTTGCCGTATTAGATACCACCACCTCGACATACTCGACTAACCGCACACATACGCCCTCCATTTAAAGCATCACCACAAATCGTCACCGCTCAATACGGTTTTAAAAACCACCACACAGACAATGATCAAGTCAAAAGAACCCCTGTGCAAAATTTCCATTTGCACGAGGGCATAGTATTATCAAGTCCCAGCCCGCGGGGCCAGTTCGCGGTGTGTAGTATACGGAGTGACATGTATCAGTCCAGACTGACATATTCCAGCCAGCCAGCCAGTCTAGTAGAGTATAGTTTTTGTCGTTATAGATAAGTCGTTGCGTTTGCGGTTGTTGTTGAGTTGTGTGGGGAGTCGGAAAGGTATATACAGAGACTGAGTTCCTATCCTACCCACGGTAGTGTAAGAAGTCAGGTGTGCGAGGGGAGAAGAAACTACTATGTGTGAGATGATGCTTGCAAAACCATATGCGATAAGCCGATTCATCCAAGACAGCGATTGCATTATGGAGAATTTGCAAAAAGAAAAAAAAAAGACAAAGCCAGCCAAGGGAGGAAAAAAATCAAAATGATCCACATCAGCACTTGACGGATCGCTCCCGCTCGCATACCAGAACCATGCGGTAGCGGAAGTAGGTGTGTGTATGCCAACGTGACCCAAATACTCTAACCAAAAAGTACGGCGCTTTTCCAAGCGCAAAGAAAATGTGTTGTTGAAAACAAAGACCTGTCCAGCGTGGTATGTTGTATATTCTTAATTGTGCAAAAAGGCTCCAGGCGGTTATTTGGTATAGCTGCATGCGCCGAGCAAAGGAAATAGTAGGGGCATCTACATGGAGCCCATGGCAATAAGAGCTTCAATGGCGTCACGCTCAGCTCCGGAGCCGGTGACGCCAGACGATGCAGCAAAAGCAGTGATGGAGGAGGTACCCGCGTTCACGGCGTGATTTCCGCGGGATGCAGCAGGAACAGTAAGGTGCCTGTTGTAGGTTGGACGCATTGCACTGGAAGGGTGAGGTCCATGAGGTAGCGAGTGGGCCTGGGTGGAGACGCTCCGATAGCGCGGGTTGCTCGTCTGCGTTCGGCTTAGATAATTGTAGTCGCGATTTTCACGGCGCGGTCCGTAGTGGGGTTGGCGAAGTGCGTCTGGTCCCAGCGCAGCCCAGTCTTCTTCGTCCGTATCATCGTTCAAATCTGCTTCCAGATCCATATCCGACTCCAACTCGGATTCCGTGCTGCCCTCGGAGCCGTCCAAGGACATGTTATCCGCCATTTCTTCGTCCTCGTCCTGGCGGTGCGGCGACCACGAGCCAGCATTCCAGCTGCCCGAGTAGACATCGCACGTGTTGCGCACCTTGCGTGTTTGCGCACTGCCGCGGATGCTATCGACACTCGCCGGGGGAGTCTGTCTGTTCCCTGAGCGAGCCGAGCCGATGGGCATGCCTCGGGCCTGTGTACCAGACCCTGCGACGCTCCAGCGTCCCCAGCCCACCTTTTCAAATTTCACCTCGCCGTGCAAGCCGCCGCCGGCGCGATGTTCCAGCGCAGCGACAACCAGCCTCCGCGCCTTGGCGGGTGGCAGTCCTGAAAAGCCCGGTACCGACTGGGTTAGGTGGGCCATCATCTCGCGGATGGGCATCGCACCGTGTCCGACAATGATATCCGGGAGATAGTTTCGGGCCAGCATCAGTGCCGTGATTTGGCGCGTGGCATCGAGGCCTGCCAGAGCCTCCTTGGACAGCGCAGAGGGCTGATCCTGCGCCGCAGCATGCTCCACGGCATCCTGGAGATCTATCTCCATCGACTCCTCTTCCGGTGTAGACAGACGACCCATGGCAGGTATCGGGCCTCGCTTGTGAGCGGGAAGCGTGGGCGAGATGGAGCTCGGGGGCGTGGGCAAGGAGTGGGTCGAAGGGGCATGGCCGCCATCTTGCATGCGCCCGAATGCCACGGCAATGTTGGAGACCGGGTGGGCGATGGCAGCCATGTTGGGTGGGTTTGGATGGCAAGATTTGGGGTGTGAGTCAGAAAGGAGGCGAGTGTTGGATGGCTTTGTTTAGGTGATGCGAGTCGTGTGAGCTGTTTCCCGTCAGTCTGAGTGGATTATGGGCATCGCAGCGATGTTGAGGTGAGTCTGCAGACTGCACGATGCGTTGCGACGTCTCGCACGGCTTTGGACGTACCCGATGTTACCCAGCTTAGCCAGATGAAATGGAAGCGATCGATGCCGGTGCTGCGCAGACGAGACAGCAGATAGGGGCAAGGGTGAGTTGAAATCAAAGATAGTAGCGGAAGAGTCGTATGCGTCTTCTTTTCAAGACAGCGTGCAGGGCGATAACGTTTGTTGTTGGCAGTAGTTTGTTTGGTACTGTCACTGAGGCAGAGACAGGCAGGGTGTGCAGCAAGTCGCTGCTTGCGTTGTTCCGAGAGAGGGTTGGCGATCGGCGATGGGGGATCAGCAAGGAGCACGGGAAGATCAGAGCGGCAGACGCGTTTAGAGTGTGTGAGTTATCGTCAAAGGAAAGCCAAGAATACGCAGCAAACGAAGCGCGACGAGGGCAGAGGGGAGGCAGGTTTTTATCTCGGGAATCCAAAAGGTCAATATTCAGTGTGGGTGGGCTGTGGTGAGATGGAAATGGGCATTCGGCTTACATGAGGGATTCAAGGGCCTGATGATAAGGGCGATCCGGTTCCGAGAGGAGGCAGCTGCGGCCCAGGTGGGCATCTCTCTTTGGATCGCAGCTGCCATCTGACAAGTCCAAGTTACGAAAGTGCGGGAAGCCACGGCTTGGGTTGCATGGCCTTCGACTGTAGCCCGTGATTGGCTGGCTGGGCCACCTGACCCTTTTGACCACAAGCCACACGTGTGCATTCCCAGCGTCATGGACAAGTTAACACTCGACGCCTCACCAGAACTTTGGTGCGCATGTGTGGTGTGTTGGGTGTGCTGTCTCCCTTTTGCCCCTAACAGAGCCTCGCGCTATTTCGTGGCCTGGCCGCCCAAAAAAAGAAAAGCTGGGCTGTCATCTGGGCATGTACCAAGTGCCTACTGTAGAGTTGTAGTAAGTACCTACGTACTCTACGTACCGGCAAAGGCCATCATCATCATCATCATCATCATCATCATCATCATCAGTCTCACTCGCTTTGTTCCTTTTTTTCTTTCTTTCGCGGGCACTGAAGTTGACTAGCATCCCTAATGACATCGTTCATCTCCTCCACACATCACCCTCTTTCTCGGCAGCCTCCAAGGCCGACAGTACTACCCACTCCCACTCCCACTCCCACTCCACCGTCTACCACGGCCGGGTACTGTCGCGACGCTGCACCTGAGACATTCTGTCCCTGCGCCTCCCTCCGTTCGCAGCCGAGTAGGTGACCCTATATCGGCGCTGCTTGGCATGCTCTCCAGCCATCCATCCCTCCATGCCCTGGCCTGCTCACCAGCCATTGGTCTTATCGTGGAGCGGGGTCTGGAAAGGCCATCATAAGCCCCCGCTGCACCTACACACCTGGGCAGTATCTATGTACAGTAGAGTGCCTACCAACAGCATAGAGTGTAGAGAGTACCTACTGTTGCTCTCCGTCATGCCCATTTTTGACTTTTGGTGGGCAGAGTGCGAAGAAACCCTGTACCTGTAGAAACAATGTCCACTGGCGCACACGCCCATGTCTCGCAGGTACCGGTAGTCGCCAGAGTATAAAGGCCGCAATCGTGACGTGCAGCAAACCACACAACGTCAGCCCAAGAGATAGGCCCCCACATCTTACCCCCCCTTCCGCCCACCAGATGCCCAATTCACCGAGCATGACGTGGGCTGCAAACCCCCTCTCCCCCAGATAGCCGGCCTGCGTGGGGATAACCCTCACCCATGATTCGCGTTCACAACGTACTTGGTGATTGCCTGGTGGATGTGGACCCCTTCGTTAGCCATGCCACTACACACAAAACACATTGATGCCACCCCAATATTCGACTCTTGACTGACCGCTTTGAGCACGTGCATCTGCTGCACAGTCCGATTGAACACGGCACGATACTGATCGAGGTTCTGTTGAACCACGTCGTTGCGCGTTGTGCGCCCTTCGCAAATCGCCTTCATCTGGCCCTCCATCTGCCGACACACTGTTAGCGAGCATGGCGCCATGTGGGAGGTGGGAGGAATGCAGCAATGCAACCCCAACCTCCTGATCCAAAAGCAAAGCAGAAACAACACATCACTTACCTCCTTCCGGAGAAATGGTTTACTCAGACTGGTCTCAAAGCCAACATTATCGTAGCCCTCAATCAGTGCGACGCCCAACGTCGTCGGAATGAACTCTTGCACTCCCCCTGTCCCTGTCCCTCCTCCAGCGTTCTGACCTGCTGTCCCACCACCTCGCCCACCTCGTCCTCGCCCACCCCGTGCACCCCCTCTTCCCCGTCCTCTTCCCCTTCCAGTCCCGTCACCAGCCGCTGCAGCCGCGACAGCTCCTCCTCCTTTGGTTCGTGCGATGACGTATTGTCGTTCCTTGATTGTCTCAATATGATCTGCCATGGTCGCATCCGTGCCGATTCCATTTGCATCCATGAGCGAAATCAGCTCTGGTTCGGTAAGATAGGCTGGCGGCGAGGTTTCTCCATCCAACAGGTTGGCTTCCGTAGGCTCAAAGGTCTCACCTAGCCTATAGTCAGGGAGCTGTTGACTGCTCTCCCACTTATCAAACGGGTACACATCGAGGTAATTCCGAGCAAGGACCCTAAGGCCATGTGCGTGGAACAGTTCGCTCCCATATTCGATTTCAATGTCAGTAGCTTCGCCCACTGCATCTTCGGCACAGCATGCGAGGAAGCGCCGAACAACAAAGTCATAGACCTTACGCTCATCTTCGTTGAGCTGGGTGGCCGCTACATAGTTGACAGGATGGATAGGTGGATGAGCTTTGTCGTTGTTACGCCCACTGCGAGGCTGTTGGAAGCCGCCATTCATCAGGTTCTGTGCAAACGGTCCCCAGCGATTGTCCTGTGTTTGTCTAGATACGAGTGCTCTCAGATCCATGCCTCGGTCGAATTGATCCGTCTCAGTGCGTGGGTAGCTGATCCAGCCTTTAGTATAGAGCTGTTCTGCCACCTTCATGACATCCTGCGAAGTCATACGAAGAAATCGACTACCGTTTTTCTGGAGCTCGACCGTGGTCAGGGGCAGCGGCTTCCACTTCTTGGTCGGCTTTTTTGTCATCTTAACAACCTTTGCGGTTTTGGACACCAAGCATCGCTCAAAGATGATGATGACAGCCATGCGATCGAACAGGTGACCTCGTCGCCAGTTGAACTTGACATCGATGCCGTCTTTTTTATGTGCAAGCTTGATCAACCAGAATGACTCTGGCACGAAGTTGCGTACGCGAAGGTAACGGTCGACGACGAAGCCCAACGTGGGGAATTGGCATGACCCGTAGCTGATGAGCTTACGACGCTCTTCACCTTGCTGAGGTACCATATTTTGAAGTGCCAAGGTCTGCATGCGTGTAAAGGCGGCCCCGAGGCGAAGATCTAGTTCGATGCGAGCGGAAACAGCTTGTGCCTGCGCTTCGTCTAGACGGACAGGACTTTGCGAAGCTTGTATGACATGTCTGTTGGCTGTCAGTAGGCAACAAACGCGTGCTGTCAGTGGTACACAGACGCTCTCTCGATGTTGCTGAAACGCGCTCTCCAGACTTGCATGTTTGGTTTCACTTTGAGTGCAATGTCACGAATCTCGGTACCGATATGCTCGCCCTCGCGATCGCAATCGGTCCAGATGTACAGAATCGAGGCATACCTAGCCTGGGTCTCGATATTCTTCGCCACTACCTTTTTGTTCTGACGGAGTGTTAGTAATAGTAAGGCGCTGTTGAAGTGCTCGAAAACAGTGCACTCCATACTTCTGCTATGCTCTGTTCGATCGGGGCATCGAACAAGGCTGCTGGCTGGCAGGAATGCCACTTCTTGAATCGCTCAGGGAAGTCATGCGCCACGATATGGCCAGCGACACAAGTGAAGGTGACTGAGCATTGTCCCCATTGCTGAAAGCCAAAGTCAAACCTGTAGTTTTTGACATAGCCAATTCCCGGGACATCTTCCTGGGAGCGTGTCAGACGCGTAGCTCGCCTTGCTGGACGTGGCACATGTCATAGCACGCCGTTTGGGATACGCACAGCTCTTGCTTGACCAGCGAGATGATTTGCAACGGCCTTGGCAATCGACGGCTTCTCCGCCACGCACAGAACTCGAGGCATGTCTTCCTAGGGCGACGGCCTGCATGAGGTTGTCGTTGAGGCTCAACAATGATCGTCTGCAATCAAGGTCATGTGAGATGGCGTCGAGCCACCAAACAACGCGTCTTCTACTCTAGTGTCCGCACGGACAGTTCCCTGCAGCTCGGCAATCTGATGGCTAGCGAGTTCTAGGTCATGGGCCGCGGAGGTTGGAAAACACTACACGTCATGAGGTCATCGTAGTCTGTCAATTCTCTCAGTTCCGTCAACTCTGTCAATTTATCAAGCAGACGTTAACACAGCCTGCCACCAAAGGCATAGAAAGAGGGCCTTCCCAAACCACTCCAGAAACACCTCCACACGATGCCGAACCCTCGCGCGTACCTCGACATGGCCCTACCAGTTGTGAAGTCTCTCCCAGAGTGCGCCGACTACTTCAAGACTGTAGAGCCGTTTCTCCCTCAGTTCTATGACCTTCCCTACAAAATTGCGGCACACGTGACCGATCCACAGGCGTTGAAGGAAATCTATGTCAACACCAACCCCCTCATGTCGGCGCTGGCCTTTGCCGTCATGTTTGTCACGCCGCTTGTGCTGCTTGTCTCCGAGGTCAATCGCAACTACTCGCAGGTCGACCGCCTGTGGAGCATTCTGCCGGTCATCTACAATGTGCACTATGGCGTGTGGGCCCATCTGAACGGCCTGCCTGCCCTGCGACTGGATCACGTCATGGCTGTATCACTCCTCTGGGGTGGTAGATTGACCTTCAACTACTGGCGCAAGGGCGGGTACCAGGTGGGAAGTGAGGATTACCGGTGGAACATTGTGAAGGACTATATCGGAGCCCCCGGCATGTTCATCTTGAACGTTACTTTTATCTCGCTTGGGCAGAACGTGAGTACTTCTGCATCAACAAGCCAAAAGCAGAATGAAGCCTAGGCACTGACTATGCCAGATCCTGCTCTGGCTCATCACCACGCCTACCTACATCCTGCTCCTCACCTCGCGCATCCAAGGCAATGAGCTCACAACCTATGACACTCTCTTCGGCCGTGCCATGCTTGTCGTAGTCGTTCTCGAGTTCTTCGCCGACCAGCAGCAATGGAATTACCACGCCGCCAAGGAGGCTTATAGTAAAACAGCACGAGTGCCAACCGAATACAAATACACGCGCGAACAGCTCGACCGCGGCTTCAACACGTCTGGCCTCTGGGCATGGTCCCGTCATCCCAACTTTGCTGCCGAGCAGACATTTTGGGTATTCCTATACCAATGGTGTTGTTTAGAAAGCCAGACCTTTATCAACTGGACTGGTGCGGGCGCTTTTGGTTACCTCATTCTGTTCCAGGCCAGCACTTGGCTTACGGAGCTGATCAGTGCTGGAAAGTACCCCGAGTACAAGGTTTACCAGAACCGTGTGGGCAAGTTCCTTCCCCGCCTGTTCACCACGAACATGTCGGTCAAGCACACGCCCAAAGAGAAACAGCTGATTGCAGACGCAAAGGCTGGAAAGGGTTCGTTGAAGCTATAGGAGGTGATATGCCTTTCAAAGTCAATATGGCATTCTACCCGCAGGAATGTAATTAGTATCCTCTTGGCGAACACTTGCTTAGTCTTGCCTATCGACCATGCACTGCAACCTCTCCTACCATTTGAACATCCTCTCTTGGGCGGAGAAGACTCAAATGAAGTACATAGCCATCAATCTCTACAAAATACATCACCACTACTGGCTTCCAAACTTTCAACCCGCCTTCGAAACCACACCATTTCTAACAACCTCGTCGATCCCATAAACTTTGACTATATTCCAACACACTGTTCTCCTCTCTCCAGAATTTGGGCCCTGAAGAAGCATCAGCCCATGTCGCAGTAGCCCAACTTTGCCCTGCCTTGGGTATTGTATTGCACATAGTAGCAGTGATGCACGGTATCCCATTGCCCTCGCCTCTCGCACAAGAATACACTGCGCATACAAACTACGTGTCTGAATCCTAGACTGAAACAGTACAAAACCAAACCAACAGCCTGGAAACATTGGGCTTTTTAATGAGGAATAGATCCTCTGAATGCTTCTCTTGAACGTCACTTAAACATCAACATGAACACCGCCACCCACATCGCCACCCACATCGCCATCCACATCGCCATCCACCTTGTAATTTTATAGTAGAAGGGAATATCAGACGGAATCTCATGAAAACTGTAGACTAGCCAAGTAATACATGTCCCCGGTATATCTGGTGTAGGTATGCGTGTCTATCATGTTGCAAAGACATGCATTGGTTAGGTGGTGTAGGTGATATGTTGCTAGCTTCGACGAGACATGTGGTTCCTTGCCATTGGCAAAGAACTGGAGAGTAGAAATTCGAACTTGGTGGAATGATGCATTGTTTTGCAAAAAGAAAAAAAAAGACTAGGGTATCATTGTACTCGAGCGCAAACGCCATGGCTATGCAACCTGTATATATCCAATTCCAATTCCGCCATCCACATCACCTGCTTAACCCTTACCAACCGCCTACCCCGGCCCCAGCGCCATCCCGAAATACCCCCCCCCCCTTTCTTAACTGAGACCATCAAGTCGCCACTCCTATTGGAAACTCAATTCGTCTTCACTCCCACTTCCAGCCTCACTCTCCGCAAAGGTAGCGAGACGCTTCCTCATCGCCAACCGGTGCTTGCAAATTTGTGTTTTGGGCAAGGCATGGCGGCGGGATGTGCGTGTGCGGCGGGCCCAGGCCCGAGGGCGGACGGGAGTCTTGGCGAGTTCGTCCGGGTCTTCTTTTTCTTTGTCGTCTTCGTCTTCATCTTCGAGATCGAGTTTCTTGTCCTCATAGGTTTGGTGGTGGTGTGAAGTACGGCGTCGTAGGGATGTGCGTAGTCGTTTATGCGGTCTTAGTGGAGGGGCTGGCGATGAGGGCGACGCTGCTTCTTCATCGTCCTCCAACGAAGGATTTTCCATTTCGCTGTCATCCACGTCATCAGGCTCAATGTAAGTCGGCCGCCGAATATTGCGAAGCCCGCTCTCGAGCGATCGCCGGGAACGCTGTGTTCGTAGCCGCGAGGTGATATCTTTGACACCTAATTTTGAACGACGGGAGCGGCGCGGTGCACCCTCTCTTTCTTCTCGCTTCTCTTCAACTTGGATATCGTCTTGCAACATTGGGTAGAATGGAACTGTAGGGCTGCCGGGGGGGGTCATCTGCATTCGTTTTGAAGAAATGAGTACCATAGGTGAAGAAGCACGCGTTCGTTTGCCTAGTGAGGAGATGGACATTGGCAGGGCTTTCTTTATGGGCGAGGACTGCGGAACTGCATCTCCATCGTCCTCGAATGGGAATGCTGTCGCCTCCCAAAGCGAGTCCTCATCTCCACATAGTAGTCCGCTGTCGTTCTCCGAGGCCAATCCCTTCTCATCCTCAGACTGAATGGGCGTAGGGAGTAGATCCAGTGCTCGAATAGGCTTTCTTGCCTGACGCTTGACGTTATGTTTAGCAAAAGGCGTACACGCTACCCACTCGCCAATGCCCTCTTCCCACTTGAACCCGCCCCCCGCAGTAGGTGGCGCATCCTTTTCGGGAGACTGGACTATCACCACTCGGCCCTGAGTCCGCATGGTTTCTTCGATGCTGCGAGCGAAAACCATGTGCTCAACATCGCCTGTACCATACGCAAATTCCATGGCAGACTCCAACGCGACGCGCTTCAGCGTCCACAGCTTGTGTGGTAACCGGAGGCCAGAGGTGGACATCAACGTTGCGACCAAGCGTTGGATCTGATCAAAACCGTCATCTTGCCATATGCGTCCAGTACCGCGCGCTATCGATGCAACAAGGGAAGGCAATCCCGCTAAAACGGTCGCGAAGTTGATGCCCTTGATGTTGAATTGGGTAGCTGTCCAATTGACGATATCATTCAGAGTTGAAATGCGCAAAAATGGCTTCGACACATCGCTGCATCCCTCTAGGTGTACGAGCACCGTGGCGAAGTTGATTGAAAGAGCTCGTTGCGCAAAAGTCTGGGCATCCTCTGGATCCGCATCTAGCAGTCTCAATTCGTCGTGAAAGTCCTCTCTTATTGACATGGCAACAGCAACAGCATCTAGAACCTGCGTGATCCGCTGCGCCACCACTTTACCAGCAGAATCCTCGCGATTGTTGCTGACGAGTGCTATGCTACAAAGCACCGTGAGAAGACTTGAGAAGGTCGTATTTAGCGCTAGTCGTAGTTCCTCTCGCGATGAGGGTACAAATCTTCGAGAAGTCGACCCTGTCATTTCATCTTCAAGCAATCGGGCATCTGGCAAACCTACGCTTGCTAGTGTGACAGTCTCCATAAATCGAAAGGCATTGTTGAGGGTGCGATGATCGTTTTCCGAGATGGTCCGAACCAGACGATCCCACAATGGACGCATGCATTCAGTGGCCAGCCACTCGAGTGGTAGAAGTTCCAGTGCGACCAAGTGCTGGAGAAGATCGTACATCAAGCGAAAGCGACCGGTGCGTTGAACGAAACGTCGGAACAGGTTGAGGTAAGGTTGCCTTTGCGCATCAAAAAGGTCTGATTTGATGTAAACGGGCATAACCAGTGCTTCGATCAGGGGTACGTAGGCCAATAGTAGTCTCTCAGCTTCATCCCATGCTGAGACATTCAGACAATGCGTGACCAATACCGATAGACTATCCAGACCCAATAGTTCGTCGCTGATTGCATTGCAGAGCAATGAAGTAGCATGTGCTCGTACGACCTGTTTGAAAGGACGCCACCCACTGCCTACTCGCTGTTCGAAAACAAGCTCCAGGTGCTCGTAAATCTCATTGCTGATATCACGATCATCGTCCTCCTCTTCCTCTAACTTGTCCATCTTGGCAAAATGCTCTTCCAGTTCAATATATGCAGGCATCTTCCGTAAGCAAGTACTCATGAGCGGCCTAGTGCCTTTCCATCTCTTCTCATTCCCGGTGGTAGTAGCTTGTAAAAGGTTCGCGTATGCTTCCAGCAGGCCCTGTACAAGCTTGTGTACATCTGCAGACAGATGCTTCGGGGCCTGGGAGAGGTCGAACCCAACCAAGAGCGGCCCTTTGTTTTTTCCATACTTCTTCAACGGGGATATCTGGGCCATTGGGCTACTCTGCAGCTGCGTGCCCATCCTCGCTACAAGTGGTGTAAATGCAATTTCGCCTGGGCGAGCTACATGACTGACACTCGAGTCGCCCCTTTGCACACCAAGCACCTTCCTTCTCCCACGGCCTCCATAAGTCCTCTTGCTTGACACAGGCTTTACGCCTGGTTTCCAGTCCGGATCGCTAGCCTTGTCGAATCCTCGAGGCTTGTGTACAGGTCTGGTAAAGTTTGTGGTCTTGTGTGGTGATCCTTTCGTCGCGAAGGCCGAAGAAGCAGCTCGTGGTTCGCCGGCCGCCGATCGCGGTCGCTCGAGTTCTTTCCGGAGTTTGGCGAGTTTGGATGAAAGTGGTCGTAACAGGCGATTACACCGCGATGTTGTCCATGGTAAGTTGTCGTCGGCCGACATGGTTGCGTAATTATGTTATTTTAATACAAGAGGTAGTCGATAGAGCGCAAATGTTATGTCTATTTGTAAAGGATGGTCGCACACGGTTGAGTGTTCGTCGTCAAGGCGCGCACTTGTCACTGTTTGTTGACCAACATCGGTTGTCAGTGTTGCAGGTCTTGGCGTGCACCGAGCGTGTTCGCGCTAACCATTTTCAGAGGTCGCCTTTCACAAGCAGCTTTGGAAGATTGGTATATAGTTGGCAAAGATAGCATTCTTAGTTTGGGGGCAACGGACTTTGAAGAAAACGGATCATGGAGAAGCAGCTGATTTGCGTTGAATGCAAAGAAGGACTATAATCACAAAAAGCCTAAATGGGCGATCAAGAACACGTAATGTATTAACTGCACAAAGTCGAATTCAAGCTTTGGGCCTCTGTGGTTGAAGACCAACGCAACGACGACATGGCGTGTGCAATGGTACTGTGAATGATCTCAAGGCCTGGACATTGAGCACCCTGCGATGCCCTCCCTTTTCAAACATGGACATGACATGCAGCCTTACATCGCCTCACTCCTATAGGGCTGACGTCCATATTCAGATCAGGATTTAGAGTGACGGCCGAACAATACGAGTGCACGTCGCATGCGCTTTTCCGGACGGTCTCAGAAATTTTTGCTGGACGAGCGATGGACAAATGTGATACCGACTTACCTTGTCGTCCAATGATGTTGTGTCGGACTGTCCTTCGAGATCTGCTCCCTTCTTCCCAAGCATAGGGTCAACTACTATGGTACATGGCGATCTTGTAGGAACCAAACTACCGTGGCAGGAATTGACGATCTAGTGCTTATTTCGCCTCGCCGCAATCTCGCATAGTTCGTTCTGCACACTGCCATATGCGGGATCGGCCACACGGAGGATTCGATTGGCATCCTGTTTGCGCCACATGTGATCCCACTGGATCCGTAACCGAAATAACGATGAGATTTGAATGTCGTCGATCAGAACTTCCAAGTTTGCACTACCGCCTCGGGAGGTCTGGATGCCCTCTCGTAATCAAGCAGTGTTTCAAATGAGCTGACTGTGAACCATTCAAGCAATTTCATTAACCAAGAGCGACGGACGGCCTTGGTAGGGGTGATACGTTCGTATTGTACCGTAAAGCGTACGAGCACCGAGGTGCACCGGCTGGGCAAATTGCTCCGAATCTTGTTTCGTGCGCTTACAGATGGAGGCGACCGTCCTATGTATGGATTGATGGTGGCTTGCGGACAACTCCACCCGGCGCGTGCGTAAATGCGTCGTGGACATGTTGGACTTCGTCTACACGCATTCGTGATACTACAAAATATCGGTGTTTCTTCGTTACGCCGACCTCGCGAAGCGACATGCGTTTCAAGGCTGAAGTGAAGTCCTTCATCATGGAGCGATAGTAGGCGAGGTTTTGAAATCGCGGAGGTAAGGCTATATGTGTATTTCGAGATCGCGGGGCCGCAGTGTGGGTTTTCGACACATCCTGGTCCGCATCATCTGCTTGAAACAGCATTATCTTGATAGCGGGTTCATGGACAAACTGCATGTTTCTGGGGTTGTTTTGAGAACGTACCGCGTCACAGAATACGATTTGCCATGGAAACTGGACGATAGATGCCTCGGCTGGAAAAGGACGGAAACATTCTGACTAATTGTGAAGCTCACATTCATAGGTGCCTACTGTGTGAATGAGTACGCAATCTTGCTGTCACGGCTGTGCATGTTGCTGCTAGGAGATGCATGGTGAGCACGACGGAGCAAACAGTTTCGCCAATGACCAAAAATTTGTGAAGCGGTCAAAGTGCAGAAGGCTTCCGTCCCGTTGTGCATGATGCATGCAGGCAGTACGTATCAGACTGTTCATGGTGGTTGAAACATGATAGGGAGTCAGCAACGATTTTGCCACGATTAGTGGTAGACGGGATTTGTAATGCGGTATTATTCGTGGAGAAATGAGAGATTCTTTTTGTCGAGATGACATCTGATAGCATGGTGGTTGCACTTTGACCATTGACGAACCATGCCATCCATCTGCTGCAAGTTCTTAAGTCGCACAAGGATAAGTGATACAACGATCTAGAGCTGTCAGCGTAGTGCGCGTACCTTTTCGAGAGAAGACTGCAGGAAAAATCTCCAACGGCATTGACTCTGCTCAGTGTCAGGAATCAGCGCTTCTCCATAGGGTCAATTGTGGTCAGACAGAACAGGAGGATCGAGTTAGGCAGGGTGGGCAATCCGTCACAAGTAGATGGCTCGTGATGGATTCATTCGACATGATTCCACTTGCGAGGAGCCGAGCAAGCCCACGGTTTGAACTGGTACGAAGTTGGTAAGACACAAGTGCTGCAAGTTGACATGACAGCCCGTCGATCCATCCGGGAGCTTGGAATCTGGTTCTGGTTCCAGATAGCAGAGGGCGCCTAGCAAGATTGGTGAATGGGAAAATGCTTATTTCTGTAACCATGGGGCGTTCCAGGCCGTGAAGCGAATGCACATGTTGCGTACACAGCAGGGAGGACTACTGTACGTCAGGCGTCTGATCCATGATCAGGCGTTAACGTCCCGAATTTAGCTGGGTTGGACAACTGAGTTACTGAGGTCCCTAATAGGGAGTGCACCTCAGTCAGGTGGGTTGGATGGGCTACCTACAGTACCGGTGCCTACCATCCACCACCGTATGTACAGTAGAGTAAGTACCTGAGTACACAGGGGTGCTACGGAGACCCTCTTAACAGGCTCGATTGTACCACGATGAAGGCGTGCTCATACTCTAAAAAGAGACTAGAGTGGCCGAAGGACTGTTTTACCTGGTTTACAAGCCCGTCCCCAGTTGGGTGGCAGAAGAAGCTCCAGAGTCCAGGACCTCGTCTGTCTCGTCTCTCGTTGAGCGCAGGATTACGATTTCGAGGCAGCCAGGCGACAATGACGCAGCTGGCCACCCCCGTCCTTGTCGTCGTGTGTCGTGTGTCGTGTTTGTGGGAGGGTGGCCGGTGAAGGATTCGTTCGGAGCGATGATGAAACAGCGCGGACTGCTTGGAGGCTCGCGTGTGGCGCTGGGTACCCGTTTTCAGCGGCGGTCTTGTCGGAGTACAACACAGATACCCAGTGTATCTATGTACCTAGCCAGGTCGCATAGCAGGGGAGCAGTGGGGAGTATGTACCGGCATGTACAAACCCATTTCAACATAACACCGTAGGGCAGGGAAGTTGGCGAGCCTTCTCGGGGAGACTGTCTTTCTCGTGTCGTCCCGGCACTCTCCCCCCCCCGGCCCGCCAGGGGAGACGGCCAATGGCGCGCGCCCCTCGTGCCTGCCTAATCAAACACTTCACATCTTTTGCCCTTAGTTAACCCACCAACAGGCCCCCCTCCCTCCTCTCATCCGGCCTCTCCTCTCTCTTTTTTTCTTCTTCCCTCTTCACATACATACGTTAGGTACATAGATACACGGTGTACACATTCACTGCTTTGCTCGCCCCAGTCACTCTTTCTTAGCTCACATTCACTTCACCCCATCTTCTCTTCTTTACGCCCCGACCGCGTTCCCAGTGTCTCGCTTCCCCGCCGGCTCTTCCAATCTGATCCCCCTGGTCGTGGATATTCGAACCTTGGACCGATCGCTGCTGGCCAATTCACCCGCTTTTTGGCTGCATTAAACGTCACCTGCACCACCGTCTGACCCTTGCTTGGCCGTCCAGATTAACGTTCCGAATTGGGCCACCGTGGACATTATCAACAACCACCTGCGACGTCAACTGCGCCTGCATTACGCCTGCACCCCCCAGCCCCCAGGACCCGTATTCAGACCCAGTTGCGCCAGGGTACCCTCCACCTCCCAATCTATCAGTGAAAGCAGGTCACGGCCCATGATCATTGCCTTCGAAGAGAACGCCCTCAAGACCAATCTGGACCCAAGTCCCGCCCTAGAGATTCCGCCATACCAAAGTCTGTCAATTGCTGGCCAAGACAGATAACCCTCATTACATACCGCGAACCCCCCGCTTACTATAGCCCGGTTACCCCCCAAGGACTTCAGAGAATCCCAGAGACTGTACCCTCCGCGGCACCCAGGTCGATCTCAGTCGTCTACCCTTTGGACTACTGTCAACCCACCTTCATCACACTCATCCACAACCATGTCTGTTGATCAAGTTCTGGGAGGACTTGCCAAGCGTGCAGGAGGAGGCCATCCTCCCGAGGATCCCACCGCCGGCTTGGAGAATGTCAATGTCCAGCACTACCTAGGATACATCTGGTGGATCATTGTTGCCATCTTCTTCCTCTATCAGGTGGTCCTCTACTTCGCCCGCTATATCCGTACAGTCACCTGTCTCAACAACGACACACAGAGATACTTCGCCATTCCCAATGCGACATATGCTAGCTTCAAGAAACACTGGCTGGATGCACCACTCTTCCGCACCCGTCACCACCGAGAGTTCAAACTTTCCTCAGCCATCGGTATTGGTACGCTACCCAGTCGCATGCAAACGTTCTTCCTCGTTGGGTACTTCGCCGTCAACATCGGTTTCTGCGTATGGAAGATCGACTACAGCAGCTTCTCGGCAGGCGCAGGCGAGCTGTTGAGCCGCTCTGGCATCATGGCTGTGATCAACATGATCCCCCTTTTTCTTCTGGCGGGTCGCAACAACCCTATCATCAAGCTCACTGGCATTTCCTTCGACACCATGAATCCATGCCACGACACGAAAGGCCTCTGCTTGGCGGCGTGTTG